GGAAAGATGACATAATTTCCTCCATGTAGTCTTTTCATTAATGGATTTTTGGTTAAACAGTGATTTTTATAATAAAATCCTGCTAAATGTGATCGTTTGTACCACTGGTACTTTTGCAAATAGTTGTTTCTTTTGTAGCAGCTCTTCGTCAAATGGCGCAAATGGGCAGTGCAGTTTTAAAATAAAGGCTCCAAAATCTGCCAGCCCAGAGAAGTTTCGACTTACCTTTTTTTTCCTATTATTGGAATTGGCAGTGCATAGGGGTAAATAAAGTCTGTTTTCCAAAGTAAGTATAAGTCCAACTGTTTTATATCCATAGAAGATAGCAGTAAACCAGACTTCTAGAGTGATTTCCCCAAATGTACCTGTGCAGGTTTAGAAACATTGTTTCTTTATGATGTCCTCTTTTATGTTTTTCTGTATCCTCTCTTTTTTTTTTTTTAAGCCCTTTTGCTTACTCTTTTGAGGCTCCCTGTTGGTTTGGAGAATTTCTCTGTAAGGGGAGAGCCTTTACATATTAAAATGATAAAGATGAAAGCATAGCTACATAATAAAGGATTTTGTACAAGACAGAGAGGAAATGGACATTCCAACAATCCAAAGAATATGTGTATTAACTTTTTATTCATATTATATGAATAAAGCTATATATCAATATAGCTTCTATTTTCTAGAGGGCTATATGTGGCAGTCATTGTGTGCTAAGCACTTTACAAAGATAATCCTTTTAATCTTCAACAATTCTATTAGTGTTAATACTGTTTTTAATGTCATTTTATAAATGAGGAATAAAAGCTTAGAGAAAATATGCCTTTCCTGTGGTCACAAAGGGTAATAAGTTGAGATGTTAGGTTTTGAATCTTGGCGTTCTGATTCAGAGCCCTTATTCTTAGGCTCTGTTACTGCTCCCAGGGTTTTTTGTTTTGCTTAGTAATGTTTATTTTTAAATCAGTGTTTCATCGTAATTTTTGAAAATATGTTTTGAAGATTTAGTACATAAAATTTGAGTGCTTAGCATTGAAATTTTAATGTTGTGAAGTTTCCTTGGATAATAACATTAAATATTTTATATAAACTCAGTGTTAATTGCTGTTGTGATAGATACAATACTAGGCTTCTTATGGAATAATCTGTGAAATATTGTAAGAAGTCCAAATTTTTAAATTTTATTTATTTATTTATTTACATCTTTATTAGAGTATAATTGCTTTACAATGGTGTGTTAGTTTCTGCTGTATAACAAAGTGAATCAGCCATACATAAACATATATCCCCATATCTCCTCCCTCTTGTATCTCCCTCCTACCCTCCCTATCCCACCCCTCTAGGTGGTCACAAAGCACTGAGCTGATCTCCCTGTGCTATGCAGCTGCTTCCCATTAGCTATCTATTTTACATTTGGTAGTGTACATATGTCCATGCCACTCTGTCACTTCGTCCCAGCTTACCTTTCCCCCTCCCCGTGTCCTCAAGTTCATTCTCTACGTCTGCATCTTTACTCCTGTTCTGCCTCTAAGTTCTTCAGAACCATTTTTTTTTAAGATTCCATATATATGTGTTAGCATATGGTATTTGTTTTTCTCTTTCTGACTTACTTCACTCTGTATGACAGTCTCTAGGTCCATCCACCTCACTACAAATAACTCAATTTCATTTCTTTTTATGGTTGAGTAATATTCCATTGTATATATGTGCCACATCTTCTTTATCCATTCATCTGTCGATGGACACTTCCATGTTCTGGCTATTGTAAATAGAGCTGCAGTGAACATTGTGGTACATGTCTCTTTTTGATTTATGGTTTTCTCAGGGTATATGCCCAGTAGTGGGATTGCTGTATTGTATGGTAGTTCTGTTTCAAATTTTATTTTCTGTTTTGTTTGTTTTGTTTTTGGCCGCACCACATGGCCTGTGGGATCTTAGTTCCGCAACCGGGGATCGAACCTGGGTCCATGGCAGTGAAAGCCCACGTCCTAATCACTGGACCACCAGGGAATTCCCAAGAAGTCCAAATTTAAATTTTTTTTCTATAGTCCTAATGTGTTTTCTCTTTTTTAAAGGTATTATTATGATGGGGACATGATTTGTAAAGTTCAAGGCAAGAGATTTGTATACAAGTTTGTCTGTGACTTGAAGACTCTTATTGGATACAGTGCAGCAGAGTTGAACCGTTTGGTCACAGAATGTGAACAGAAGAAACTTGCAAAGATGCAACTCCATGGAATTGCCCAGCCAGTCACAGCAGTAGCCCTGGCTACTGCGTCTCTGCAAACAGAAAAGGATAATTGAGCCCAGGACCTTTTGGGAGTCCAAGGTCTTTCTTAAATGTTAGAGCAAGTATTGCTCTTACCTTTATTACTGAATTTGAATCTTCTTTTATTTCTAGACTGTACAATCTGATGCATGATTTTTTTATAAATATTTCATACTCTTGTGAATTTGGATCTTTTTACTTTGAGCATATATTTTAGAAAATGTGTATGTTAAACAATCACCACAATGTCTTTAGGCAGGTTCATTGTGGGATAGTTTGTTAACAGTCAAGAAAGCTAAACTGGTCAGTATTAATGTCTAGCCCAACCAAAAATAGCCAGTAGCTATTGATGAAAAATAAATGAAAGTATCTCCAGGAAACAGTCTGGCTTAACTATTTTTGAAAATATAACTGTTTCCCCTCTCTGCTGCTTTAGATGTTGCTTTACATAGAACCAGAAAATGGAATTTTTCACAGCTGAAGCATGTATGCCTGTTTCATCTAATCAAGCAGAGCTAAAATAGTCATATCAAATAAAATTATAATATTAATAAATTACTAAACTAAGAGCATCACGTTATTAAAGTAATTTATATATTTGCAAGCAAAGGACAGTAGAAAGACTGGCAGAGGAACAAGTGCTGAAGAAAGAGATCCAGGTTTAAATCTGGCTTTACTCAAGCCAATTTTAAGGATTTACTGTATAGCTATTTCATAATGTCAGGCCAAGAATTTAAATTATTATAAGAGAGGCATTAAATTCTAATAAACCAACTATTACAAAAATTCTCAAATGATCTCTGCTTTCTCTATCAGAGATTTAAAAAACTGAAAAAGTGTACCTCAACCCGAAAATAAAAGTTTGGTTTAGTTTGGTTTGGTATGGCTTTTTTTTTTTTTTTTTTTTTGATTACCTTGCAGTGCTGGTTTATTATACAAAGCAGCTTATATAAGTCCTGGGTTTCTGATGAAGTGAAGACTTTAAATCAGTCAGTAGTACTTTACCTTTAAGACATTAGTAAATTACTTGCAAATAGTTTTAAAAGGACATTTTGAACTCCAGTGTAGACAGTCTTTTCTTAAAACAAAATTTCCCATTTATTTAATTTTTTTCCTTTGAATATTATTTATGAGTGTACAGATATCTATATACATGTCCAGTTGACCATCTTATATATATATACATGTACACACATATAAATGAAGACATAATATTCAAAGCAAAAATATTTCAAGAGGTGATAACTCATTTAAAAAATTCTTTAAAAATTAAATAACTCTTACAAACGTAAAACTCTTTACTTACCACAAGCCAACACTAAACAGAAATGGCTAGAAATGTCTTTCTTTTTTTCTTGCTTGCTGTGCTTGGTTTCCTTACTTTTTTTCTTTTTGTTTTAAGGTATTACGCACGAATCATGATATGAGATACTGGCAAATAATCCTCTTATAGCAGAAGATTGATTCTCAAATATTACTTTATGTATTTTCTCCCTCATCATCGCCTTTAAATCCATCCCTCTAAACAGCTTAATAAGAGCTCAATACTTTTGACTAACTAGGAGGAAAGTGCCATGCTAATGCAGTCAAAGGGGCACTGTTTAGCAGTTGCTGCCACTAGTAGCAAATAGTGGTTTGGAGAGAACCATAAGGACAGGGATCTTAGGAACAAGGAGTAGAGGAGGGAGTCTGTGACCTCCTTTTCTGGTAACCTCAAATCATATTATGCTGTACGACTGCAACGTGTAATGTCAGGTCACTTACGTTTTTATTCTGTCTATGTCTAAGTCCTTTAAGACCCTGCAGTAGAATCTAAAAAGAATAAAATTTGTAATTTCCATTTTTACCTTTTTATAAACACATACAGAGTAGACTGACAAATTATTAGTTTAATTTGGATGCTGTGATTGCAAGAATATCTGAATAGAATAGCAATATGAAATAATATATAGAAGCTCTAGTTCAGATAACAGCTAAAAAGAAGGTTTGCACCATGCTCTTATGGCCTGGGAAGTTGACAAGTCACTTACAGTTTTAAAATAATAATAATAAAGTTCACTCTTCTGGTGTATTTCTCAAGATCTTAAAATTATTGACTTTTTGATTTAAAATACTTTGGGGGAGACATGTTAAAGTTTTAGCCAAGATGACAGATTTCCGTTACGTCTCAACTGTATGTATATATTTTTTTAAGACAAGGAACACCCATATTTCTTCTAGATCCTAAAATCAAACTGTTATTTCTTTTTTCCTTATGTGTTCCTCAGATACTTTTTTTTAAGGAACCACATTCTATCCATTTTCTTCCTTTTGCAGTTTTTTATTCCTCATTATCATTTGAACAGAGACAGTTCTCATACATGATCGGGTGCTGTTTCTTTTTTCTTCTTTGCCTCTCACCATTGTTTTATGCACCATAAGTAATGAGATTAATTCCCCCAGTTGACTCAAGAAACTTCTGTTGCTTTGTCTCAACTTAAACTATTTCCGTTGTCCTTATTGAGGTTGCAGTTATCAGAAGCCAAGTAGTTTTTTCTTTTGTTGAAAGATAACTTGTGTTTTGAAAGAAAATATAACTTGCTCTGCTTTTATGAATAAATTTTCCAGAGAAGAATTTACAATATATTCAAAAGGGAGAAAGATAAAATTTTTGGCCGTCTTCCATACCATGTAAGTACAAAAATAATGAAGTGTGTTCATTTTTGTTTTAAAACTTTTTTTCCACATGAGATTCTCATTTAGCCAACTTTCATACATATCTTGCTGGCCTTAAGTTTAGAAATTTGTGTTGGCATCAGAAAGTCCAACAAATTAGGCAGAATTACTCTGTGGTTGATTGTCACATGAATCGACTCATCACATTTATTTTTGTGTCAGTCTGTGTCAGTTAATTAGGAAAAATTGTTTAGTTGTTTTTCTCCCCTGAATAAATGGTGAAATTCAACTATGGTATTTCTTTAAAGGATTGTGCCTCCGAATATTTAAGGTGAGGTCTGCTGTTTTACATATTCATCATTTTATGCTACTGCCTTTTAAAAAGAACTAATGTATCTTTGAAATAGCACAAAAATGTTTTAAAATTCATAATTTCAAAACAACATGTGACTAACTTAATGTCTTCATATCTAGAGGGTATAAAAATATTGATATTTCAGTGATATTTCACTTGCTGCCAGAAAAAAATATTCTCAATCTTTTGTAAGAGGGAAGAGGATTTTTGCATACATTTTTACTCTTTAAATAAAGACACTTGTACTGTCATAACAACAATTATGTATTTCTTTGTGGCTTTTTTTTGTAATTTTACATAAGACAGTTATTTTCTATTTTTACTCAGATAAAAAATATTTGTGCATAAAATGTAAAACTAGTAAAATGAGAAAAATAAAACTATTATACAGTATATTTCTGTTTTTTAGAAGTTCTTTCCCCATCATACAGATAGTCTCAAATTCCTGGGATATTAGGTTAGATGAAAATATGACAGTTCACATCTACTATAGTATGCATATAATTCCCATATACTTTACTTAAAAACTATCAATTTGGGAAGAACAAATTCCACTGAACTAAAATTAGGTGTTAGAGAGTTTAGTCTTTTTAAGAAAATAAATGAAAACCCCATCCACAAAGCTGAACTGTTTCAGAATAGCAACAGAAGAAATGGTAACACTGAGTACTTGTCAAAAGGCAAGTCGATGATCGCTAAAATAGAAATTCTTAGTAAAGTTTGTGGGGTTTTTGGTTTGTTTTGTTTTTAATTATGAAAAATGACCTCTCCCTGTTGGCTGAGAAACCAGGACCAGAGTATAGAGGGGTCTAAGGGAGCAGGAGAAAAACCTCACTTACGCTTTTGTTTATGGTCAAGCAGTGATCACATTTTGACTGACATGCTTTAAAAAGAAACAGTTTGAGTGAAATAAACTGCTTTTCACACTGTCTAATTCTATCTAGTTTGAAGTGATGAAAATCATGTTAGGAAATTAGTGAGGTATATTTGTTCTCCCAAGACACTTTTTGTGTACAACTTTAAAGCTTAATTTGCAAGCTAATAAGCACATGTTTAAAAAGACTTTTTACTACTGGCAAACTGATGTAGAACACGACTTTTAAAATTTCTGTGGTGTGAAGGATGACTTTTATTTCCAATTTGTCACAGACTAAAACTTTTATAAAATAAAAAGTGAATTAATGTGGGGAGGAGGAAATGGGGAGTTGTTTAGTGGATAGAAAGTTTCAGTTTTACAATATGAAAAAGTTCTGGAGATTGGTCCAGCAATGAATATACTTAACACTACTGAATTGTACACTTAGGCATGGGTGAGATGATAAATTTTATGGTATGTGTATTTTACCACAATTAAAGCTTATTTTAAAAAAATCAGTTACTAGGAGAATTTAAAAATTCAATTAACTCACCAAATTAACAATACAGAGGGAAAAAAACATCATCTCAGTAGATGCAGGAAAAGTATACAGTAAAATTCAACATCCGTTCATGATGAAATCTCTGAGCAGACTAGAATTAGAAGGGAACTTCCTTAACTTGATAAAGAGTATGAAAAACCTACAGCTAGCATCATGCACAGTGGTTTGTTTTCCATCTAAGATTTGGGGAAAAGCAAAGAAATATCTGCTGTCACCATTTCTGGTCAACACTGTACTGAAGACTACCTGGAAATAAGGCAAGAAAAAAAGAGGCATTATGTATTGTAGGAAATAAAACTTCAGAATACATCAAATACATTGAAAATCCTAAAGAATAGATTTTTTTTTAAAAAAATCTAGAACTAGTGAGTTTAGGGAGATAAGACACAAGGTCAGTATACAAAACTCAATGTTATTTCTATATGCTAGCAACAAATAATTGGATATTGAAATTTAAAGCTACCATTTACAATAGTATTAAAAAGCATGGGGCTTCCCTGGTGGCGCAGTGGTTGAGAGTCTGCCTGCCGATGCAGGGGACACGGGTTCGTGCCCCGGTCCAGGAAGATCCCACATGCCGTGGAGCGGCTGGGCCTGTGAGCCATGGCCACTGAGCCTGTGCGTCCGGAGCCTGTGCTCCACAACGGGAGAGGCCACAACAGTGACAGGCCTGCATACCGAAAAAAAAAAAAAGCATGAAGTAATTAGGGGAAAATGTAGCAAAATTTGTGTAAGACTGGCCCAATGAAAACCACA